GTTTTAAAGAAAAGGGAGGACTCAGAGGCGAGAAGTCCTGCAGCGGGGACTCGGGGGAGCGCAGCAGCAGCTGCTGCAGGCTGCTGCAGTTCCGCGCCACCACGCACGCCACTTCCTTCAGCGTCAGCGGGATCCTCCTCCTGCTGCTGCTGCTGCTGCTGCTGCTGCTGCTGCTGCTGCTGCTGCTGCTGCTGGTGCTGGTGGTGGTGGTGCAGCAGAAGCTCGCGGCGGGCACCTCGAGCTGCTGCAGCCGCTGCAGCTGCAGCAGCACGCGCTGCCGCTGCAGCTGCTGCAGCAGCAGCCAGGGGCCCCCCAAAGACACGGAAGTGACGCAGCAAAAGGCCCCGCTGCAGTCGAAAACTGCTGCTCGCCAAGCTGTACATACACCCGAAACCCGCAGGATCTCCTCCGGCAGCAAATAGTGAAATATGCTGTGCAGACACCCCGTGGGCAGCCACGCAAACACCCCCTCGGCCAGCCGCGGGCCTGCTGCTGCTGCTGCTGCTGCTGCTGCTGCGTCTGCTGCTGCTGCTGCGTCTGCTGCTGCTGCTGACGCCTCCTGCTGCTCCCCCTCCCGCCCTGTGAGCCCGTAGGCTAGCGCCGATATCAGCTGCTGCGCAGCAGCAGGCACCGGCAGCAGCGCTGCTGCTGCTGCTGCTGCTGCTGCTGCTGCTCCTGCTGCTCCGGAAGCCACTGCGCCCTCCTCTGCTGCAGCAGCCAGGGGGGCCCCCCCCTCGCTGTCAGAAGCAACGGAGGCCCTGCTGCTGGACATGTGAGACGGGGGGGCAAAGGAGCTCTCAGTCTCCACCCCGCTGCTGCTGCTGCTGCTGCTGCTGCTGTGGTTCATGATGATGCTGCTGCTGCTGCTGACGCTGCTGCCGATGCTGCTGCTCACGCTGCTGCTGCTCACGCTGCTGCTGCTGCGCGAAAAGCTGCTGCGGTCCTCGGAAAGCCGCCTCGCAGCGACAGCTGATGAGCTGCTGCTGGAGTGACCGCCGCTTTCCTGCTGCTGCTGCTGCTGCTGCTGCTGCTGCTGCAGCTGGCGCTGCTGCACCTGCCGCTGGTGCTCCTCGTACTCCTCTTCGTGCTGCTGCAGCAAATGCCGCAGTATCTCCCCTTGCTGCTGGTGCTGCTGCAGCTGCCAGCGCAGCATCCGCCCATATTGGCTGTGGACTTCGCGTTGCAGCTGCCGCTGCTGCTGCTGCAGCTGCTGCTGCCGCACCTGCTGCTGCCGCAGCTGCTGCTGCCGCAGCTGCAGCTGCAGCAGCTGCTGCTGCGCCTCCCTTTCCGCTGCCTGCCCCCCAAAGTCTTGAGAGACCCTAGAAGAAAGCCCCCGGAAGGAAGGGGGGGCCCCCAGCTGCTGGGGGGCCCCCAGCTGCTGCTGCTGCTGCTGCTGCTGCTGCTGCTGGGACTCTGCTGGCTGGAAGAGGGGCAGCGGGTGAGGGGACAGCCGCAGCAGCACGGAGGGCCTCAGGGGTTTTCTTTTGGCTTTATTTCTTTTGGGGTTTTGGGGGCCCCTCTGATGAGCAGCAGCAAAAGCTGAAGGAGGTGCTGCAGCAGCAGGGGCCCTAGCTCGCTTCGGGGGGCCCCTCACCGCAGCAGCACTGCTGTTCCTGCTGCTGCTGCTGCTGCAGCTCGGCCTGCGGCTGCTGCTGCTGCTGCTGCTGCCAGCAGCAGCAGCCTCCCCAGGGACCTGGGGCCCCTCCGAGTCAAAGGCGGGGGCCCAGGGGGCCCCCCAGACTTCAGGCTTTGCTTGGCTGCCAGTGTGAGAAGCTGCGTGAGGTCTTGGGGCTCCACTTGTGGCCTCAGCTGCAGCAGCAGCAGCAGCAGCAGCTGCTGCTGCTGCTGCTGCTGCTGCTGCTGCTGCTGCTGCGCCGTGATTCCCGCCAGTGTTGGCAGTTCCTGAAGAAAAAAAATCCGCCATGTTGGAGGCAGCGGAGAGAAGAGCGTTCTCTTCGGGTGTATAGACACCTGAGTGGAAACAACGAAAACTCAACTCGAGCTGCTGCTGCTGCTGCTGCCGCCGCCGCTGCTGCTGCTGCTGCTGCCGCCGCTGCTGCTGCTGCTGCTGCTGCTGCCAGCTGGCAGCAGAGGGTCAATGAGGCTTCTTGGAGGTCCCGGGAGGCTCCAAGAGCTTAAAGGAAAAGAAGGAAATTCATTTTAAGAGCAGCAAAGAGCTGAGAGGCGGCGGGCGCGGACGCCGCTGTCGCCCAGCGGCGACAGACCAGTGGAGCTGTTCGCGAAAAGCGGAAAGAAAATGCGAAATGGAACTCTAAAACGAAAATAAAGAACAAAAATTGAAGACTGGAACATAAATGGAAAGAAAAAGCCCCCCAAGGCGAAGAAATCCGGCGAAAATCCCGAGGGAGGGGTGCAACTGGAGCGCTGGCGAGCAGAAAGCTGGGGCAACTCAGCAGCAATTTCTGCGATCTTGTTTGCCAATAAATGCCTTTATTCTTTTTTTTAATTTCCAACTCAAAAGATCCATTTAATTCTCCTCTTTGGCCGCTGCTGGCTGGTCCGGCCGCCGCTAGCGGCCAGGAAGCCTCGGGTCAAGAGCCACGAGCTGCTGGCGGTGGAAAGCTGCTTCAATTGCAGACACATGACGGCCCCCGTTCGCGAAATGGAATAAATAAATAAATAAATGAAATGAAGAAACAAAAGAAGCGAAAACTGCGAAATAAGAGCCGCTTTCCGGGGCTTGCGATCGTGGAGGGGTGGTGTCGATGCTGAGAACGCGCGCTGCCTCCTGCGGCCTCTTTTCAAGTGCAAATTGAACTGAATTGAATCAAAACGAATCAAATTGAATTCTTAACAACAAAAGATCTCACCAATTCAAATTTGAAGGAATTTCCACGAGCGAATTCCCCTCACCGGGCTGATCGCAGCAGCAGCAGCAGCAGACCGCTGCCTCGCTGGCGCAGATGCGCACAAGACCGCGGGCCGCGAGTCAAGCCGGAATTTGCAATTCAACTCGCAAATTGATTGCTTTTATTCATTTATTTTGCAATTAATTGCATTTTAACCTTCACATTCCTTTTGCTTGCAATTTCGCGCACTCAGTTCGCCGGATCGCCGCAAAAAAGCCCCAAAATGGCATTCTGCTGCGCTCGAGCCAACTCACTTGTTGAATACACCAGAGTTATTCCAGTTTCTCCTTTTAAGCTTTCCCTCCAGCTTTCTCGCTTTATAAAACTGAAAAGAAGGAAATTAAATCTTTTGTTGTTTAATTCTCCGACAACTTCCACCTCCTGCTCCCGTTTCGATTTGCTGGTCTTCAGCGGAAACGCCTCCGCCAAAAATTCAAATTAAGTGCTGATAATTCATAAAGTGCAATTTAATAAAGTGGTAGTAATTCATAAAACTGGCAAAGTGGCTTTTAAAGCTAACTTGAATGATCTGGCAGCGCCGTTGACCACCTACAACTAAACCCTAAACCCTAAACCCTAAACCCTAAACCCTGAACTGCAGCGGGGGCTGGAAAGGCTTTCTTGGGGCCTCCAATTAAACCCTAGCGAGGGTTTAGAGATTCTCTTTGCAGCTGACAATTCGAACTTCTTTTTTACTGTCTTTGGCCTTTTGAGAACTTGGAAATAATTTGAAAAGAATTTAATTCCATTTTCATTTCTTTTGAAGTCCTTTCAGTGCTGGCCAGCGGCTTCTTTGTGAATTGTTGAACTGAAATTTGAAAACCGAATTTAAACATTTAAATTCGATTTTATATATATATTTTAGTTTTAAAATATATATAAATATAATTAAATTATATTTTAATTATTCTTTTGAATAAAAGAATTATTTCAACTCTTTCAACTCCGCCACCACGAGAGTGCCCCTGGGCACGGAGTCGAAGAGGTCGTCTTGGGTGACAGAGCCATTTCCCGTTTTTTTTGTTCGTTTTTTTCGAATTTTTGGATTTATTTGAACCTGAAAATTCGGCGAAGACCGAAATTAGACTCCCGCAGCCAAGCAGCAGCTTCTTGATTCAAAAAAACCACCTTTTCTCCATTTATTTCCTGAAAAAGATTTCATTTTCTCTTCAAATTCAACTTTTTTGCAAACTCCAACACCCACGGCAGCCAAACCCTTCCGCAGAAAAGTCGCCACGCCTTCTTCCCTCGCCCAGTCCGTGGGGTTGCCTGCAGAAAATGGCGGAAAATAATTCTTTGAACGCGAAAAAACAGAAAAATAATGGAAAATAACTGCTTAAAATGTGAACAAATAAAAGAATAATCAAAAATGAATGGTTTTAATGGAAAAAAGCAAAAAAAATGATCAAAAGTGATGCATTTTGCATGCAAAATGGTATTTGTCTGCAAATTCAAGTTCAAGTTGAATCTGAATTTTCTCAGGGATGCTGAAGTGCAGCGAAACGGAAAGAGCGGCGAATAAAGAGAAAATAAATAAATAAATAAATAAATAAATAAATAAATAAATAAATAAATAAATAAATAAATAAAAAGAATTGAAGAAATGAACTGACCTGCGCACAAGAGGGCCTTCGGCTGCCGCACGCGGTTTGGGGGATCTTCTTCGGCTGCGAAGTTCTGCGGCGAGCAGCAAATGAAAGAACTTTGAAATGCAAAATAAAATAAAATAAAATAAAATAAAATAAAATAAAATAAAATAAAATAAATAAATGAAAAGAATTATTAAATGCATCAAAAGGAGCAAATAAATGGGCGATTCAACTTGTTCAAATGGAAGGCTCAAGCACGGAGGAAGACCAGAGCAGTTTCAAAAAACAAACAAACAAATAAATAAATAAATAAATAAATAAATAAATAAATAAATAAATAATAAATAATAAATAATAAATAATAAATAAATGAATAAGTTTGCTGTCGACTCACAATGCGCAGCAGCAAACAGGCGGGGTCCTGGTTGCAGCTGTGGCGGCGTTTGCTGCTGTTTGTTTTAATTTATTTTTTGAATTTAATTTTTACTTCTCGAGAGCTTTTTGAATTGCTGCAGTTGAAGTAATTCGGGGAAGTTCCCGCAGGAGGTCTTGGCCGTGGCAGCCGGCCTGGGGGATTAGAATTCAAGTTTTTGAAAATTCAAGTTTTTTTTTTCAAGTTTTGAAGTTCAAGTTTTCGAGTTTTTGAACTTTTTGAACTTTTCAAAGTCCTCAGAACTTTTCCTTTTTGCTTCTTACAGTTCCGGTGTTCAGGAGAAGGTCGAAGAAGCTGCTGAGCACTGAAAAGTTGGAAAAAGTTGAAAATTCAAATTTGCAAAACTTGAAAAAAGTTGAACTCGGCGGACCCCGCAGCTCCTCGCCCTTCACCTGGGTGGTCCAGCCCCACGCCTTGCTGCCCCGTGACCACTGGTCACCTGCGCAGAGCCTGCAGCAGCAGCAAACTCGGGGCTGCAGCAGCAGCAGCAGCAGCAGCAGTTCAAAGCAGACTCACCAGTTGGCCCCCGTCCCGGGCAGCAGCCCGCGGGCGAAGCTGGCGGGCCAGGGCCGCTGCAGCTCGCGGGGGGGCCCCGAGGAGAAAAAAGTGCATTTGGGGTCTTTAGAACAGATTTTTTTCGCTTCTTCTGCGTCTGGGACCTGCAGCTGAACTCGGGGGTTCATGAGCCGCTTTCGGGGGCCCCGGGGGGCCCCGAAAGGCTTTTATTGGTTCGAAAAAGCCCGCCTACGTTTGCTGCAGAAGCGGCCTTCAAAATGCTGCTGCCTTCGCAGTACCTGCGGCTGTTCGGCACCACCAGGTAGTCCTCCGCCGGGTGCTCGTAGGCGGGGGGAAGCGGGTCGATCCAGGGCTCTGCGGGCCCCTCAGGCTCTTTTATTTCTTCAATTTGGTTTATTTTATTGTTTGTTTGCTTCGCAGCAGTTTGTTTGGGGGGTTGCTGCGCAAATCGCAGCAAAAACGACCGCCGGACGCCCGGGGCCGCCGCGGGCGCCGCCCGCCGCCCGCCAGCAGCAACCGGGGAGAAACAAAACAACAAATGGCCATGATTCACAAAATGCAAAATAAAAATGCAAAATAAAAGTGTTCGAAACATTTCGAAACGAATCCAAACGAGTTTCCGCAGGCGGAAGCGGAAAGCGCGGCTGCGCTGCGCGCCGCGGCGAATTTCAGGTGTACGTACACCCCAGACCGCCGCCCCCAGCTTTCCTGTTCAAATGCGAACTGGAAAACTTTTTTCTCCGCTTTTCTTCTTTTGTTCACTTTTTAAGTGAATATAAATGCATATTTTGCGCGAAAAGCGGGCTCGCTCGCCGCAAACCCTAGCCCCAAACCCTAAACCCTAAACCCTAAACCCTCAGGTCCACTTGAACACCGGCATTTCAGCCTCCTCAGTGACGTAGAACTCGCGGGGAAGATTCGTGTCCACGAAGGAACTCGAAAGCCAAGACAAAGCTGTGAAGTAAAAGGCCCTTTCGGCCACGGAAAGGGAGCTCTTGGGGGCCCACACCAGCAGCGCCCTGCAGCAGCAGCAGCAGCAGCAGCAGCAGCAGCAGCAGCTAGCTGCAGCAAGCAGCAAGTCTGCTGCAGGAGACCCCTGCTGCAGCAAAGAGCGCCTGCATGCCTTTGCAGCTTTTTCCCCCCAGCAGCAAATACGCTGCATGCGGCCATTTCAGGTGTACAGACACCCCGCAAACGGCAGCAGCAGCAGCACGCCAGCAGCAGCCCCGCGAAGCAGCAGCAGAACTTTTATTTTCGAAAATAATTGGATTAATTGGATCTAAAAAGCCCACCATTCCGGAGAGTTGGAGCGCAAGTCTATTCGAAAAACAAAAAGAGAAGGCCCTTCTTCTTTGGCGCTGCAGAGAATCCAATTCAGCCGCTCTTTTCTGCTGCTGCTGTCAAACGGCAAAGTCTTCTTCGCTGAGATCTGGCCTGCAGGCAGCAAACGAAATGCCCAGGCTGCTGCAGCAGCAGCAGCAGCTGCAGCAGCAGCAGCAGCAGCTGCTGCTGCTGCAGCAGCTGCAGCGCTTGCGGCAGCAGCAGGCGCTGGAGGTGCAGCAGGAGCTGCAGATCCTGCGGCAGCAGGAGCTGAGGAGTGCAGCTGCTTCTCCAGCAGTCCTTCGTGGCCGCCAAACCCTAAACCCTAAACCCTAAACCCTAAACCCTAAACCCTAAACCCTTGACGGACAAGTCTCTGGATCGACGAGAAGCTGAATAATGCTGTCTTTGCAGGTCCCTTGGCGAATCTGGTCCAAGAGGAGTTCGACGTCTGCGTGGAGTGTATATACACCTGGCGGCCGGGGCTCCCGCGCTTGCAAGTTTTCGGAAAGCCCCTTGGGGGCTTCCATTCTGTCTCGTGCAAAAGAGTTGAATTTGAGTTTAAAAAGAAGAATAAAACGAATTAAAAGAATTAAATAATGAATTAAAAGAATAAAAGGTTTAAAGGATTCAAAATCCCGCGGAGAGCAGACCACGGGCAAAATTGAACGGACTTGAACTCAGCGAAACTCCGAGAATGCGGCGCACGGAAGGCTCTGTTTTTGCAAAGTTGAAATAAATTTGAAATAAAATTCTTTTTATTTCATTTAATTTTAATTTTATTCTTTTTCTGCGGAAAATCTCCGAAGATCAGCTGCCGCGAGAAGTTGAACTGAGGCGCCGCTGGGGCTCCGGACCGGCGCGGCCACTGGGGGCTCTTGGGGGTAAAATTGCTGCATGCGCTGCTCTTTTGGCAATTAATAAATCCTAAATGCAAAATGTTTATTATTTAAAATTCAAAAAAGTGAAATAGTCGAAGCGGAACTTAAAGTTGGCCCCTTCACTCCCTGGAGGTGTGCATACACCCCGTGGTCCGCAGCAGCCGACAACAGATGGTCGGGAACTTCAGTTGCGACTCTGCGCTAAAAGTCTTCAAATTTCGCACTAAAATATTTACATTTTTATTTGTATTTCATTTTTAATTCAGGATTTTCAATTATATTCAGCTTTCCACTCGACTTCGCGCCCGCAGGCGCGTCTTCGCCGCAGATCGGCTTTCTTGCAACTTTCCAGCCTCAGCAGGAAATGAGCAACAATGCGGATCAAGCAGCTCTCTAGCAGCATCTCGCGAAATAAAAAAAGAAATAAATTAAATGAATTTCCCTATTTCTCAGGCGCTCTTTAAAAGCCGGCGTTTTCGCCGTTTTGAACGCAGATCGCTGAGGTGTACGTACACCTCGATCGCGCGGGCAGCCACGGAAACAACGCCGCGCGCGCCAGAACGAACTCGAGTTGAAATGAAGCATTTATTATTATTATTTTATTATCTTTTGCTATATTGGGGCCTTTTTCTCGCTTTTTTAAGTCCATATTTCTTTCTTTCCACTCTTCGAGAATCCACTGTCAAGAAACCCCCGCGCTTCAGCAGCGGCCGCAGCGCCGGCTGCTGTCTGCACAGCTCGCGGGCCACCGCCAGCATAATTGCCCCAGACTGGCCCCCGAGGCCCCCCCCCTTCGCCTGAAGCGAGCAGCGCAGCAGCAGCAGCAGCAGCAGCAGCAGCAAGAGCAGCAGCAGCAGCAGCAGCAGCAGCCTCTCTCGAGTCATGTGTGCAGGTTTGAGGAGGCAGCAGTCAGCGGAAAAGAAACAGCCAACCAAACAAGCGTCCGCAAACCTACAAAGCGCTGGAGCAGCAGCAGCAGCAGCAGCAGCAGCAGCAGCAGCAGCAGCAGCAGCAGCAGCAGCAGCAGCAGCAGCAGCAGCAGCAGCAGGACCTCTGCGACGATGTCGTATTGGTCCTGGGCCTTGGCCTCAATCAGGGGGGCCCTGCAGTTCAAAAGCCAAAAGTCGTTTTGCTGCAAATACTCTTCGCCTTCTCTGCCGTTTATTTGCAGCTGCCCGCTGCCCCGCAGCAGCCGCACCCGCGCGTACGCCCTGCGGCGCACACTCCCACCTGCTGCTGCTGCTGCTGCTGCTGCTGCTGCTGCTGCTGCTGCTGCTGCTGCGGGGCGTGCTGGTGCTGCTGGAGAGCTGCCAGACGTGCTGGGGGCAGGGGAGCTGCTGCTGTTGGCGCTGCTGCCGCTGCTGCTGCTGCTGGCGCAGCAGCAGCGAACGGGCGCAACCACGGTTAACAGCAGCAGCAGCAGCAGCAGCAGCAGCAGCAGCAGCAGCACAGGTCTTACTCCTTGCGCGTTCCCCACGAGAAGTCTCTTTCTCTTTTTTTAACTTCTTGAGTCTCCATTTCCTCCTCTTTGGGCCCCACAAAATAATAAGCTCCGTCGTCCTCCCCGGCTCTAAACATCTGCTGCTGCTGCTGCTGCTGCTGCTGCTGCTGCTGCTGCTGCTGCTGCTGTATGAATGAGGCGTGGAGTCTGAAGCCCGTCACCTGCTGCTGCTGCTGCTGCTGCTGCAGATAGGCTCTCTGTGTTGCTGCTGCTGGGGAGAGAAAACTAAACATTGGGGAAGAGACAAAAGAATTATAAGTTAAAACATTTGCTGCTGCAGCAGAGGCAAGGGGCTGCTGCTGCTGCAGCATCACGGTTGCTGCTGCTCCCAGCTCAGCCAAACACCCCAGCAGCAGCAGCAGCAGCGGCCGCAGCAGAGGCCGCAGCAGCTGCTGGTGCTGCTGCAGCCTCTTCTGCTGCTGCTGCTGCAGCATCTGCTGCGGGAAGCAAGATTGTCTTAAGCCCAACAGAGCAAACCCCGTTTCTTGAGGGGCCCCTGGGGGCCCCCCGGGGGCCCCGTCTAGGGGCCCCCCTGGGGGCCCCCTCTCGGGGCCCCTCGGGGGCCCCTGTGCAGAATAAAGCAACTCCAAAGGCCCCCTGCAGAATCCCCCTAGGGGGCCCCCTGGGGGGCCCCCTGGGGGGCCCCCTGGGGGGCCCCAGGGCCGCATGGAACTGCTGGCGGGGCCCCTGGAGGCGCGCCGGGGGCCCCTGCGAGGGGCCCTATGTGGACTGGAGTTTGGGGAGGAGAAAAGTGGATCGGGGTGGATAAAACGAATTAATTATTAAAATTAATTCTTTTTAATTCAAAAAAATCAAAAAATAAAAGTCCAGAGCTTCAGAAAGAGCGCTTTGGCCCGCTGGACCTGTTTGCCCGAGCTGTCGAGACACCCCAGAGGCCGGGGGCCCCCAGCTGTCTTTGGGGGCCCCCCTGAGTGTGCTGCGGACAAAAGGGAATATATTTATAAATAAATGAAATTTAATTAAATTAAATGCCTTTTTGGATCCCCTTAGCACAAAAAACCAGAAATATAGAGAAAGAACTCCCCTAGTTACTCCGCAAACCCCGGGGGGCCCCCAGCTCTTTTTGATGTCAAGACACCTGGAAATGCATTATATTTGTGTGGTTTTGTGGGTTTTTCAGTTTTGTTTTGGGAAAAGAATAAATAAATGGCAATTAAAGGGGTAAAATAAGAAAACCCAGAAGCAAAAGCAGCAGCTAGAGACACAAACTTCTCAAAGCCCGCTCGAGCTGCAGGAGCAGCAGCAGCAGGAACCCTCTAGGGGCCCCTAGGGGATGTGCTGCTGCAGCAGAAGCAGGGGTCTTCCTGGGCCGCGCCCGGTGCTGCTGCTGCGCGGGCCACCCCCACTGCTTTTGCTGCTGCTGCTGCTGCTGCTGCTGCTGCTGCTAGTTTCGGATATGTCCGTCTCAAGCAGCATCTTGCGGATCAGGGGGCCCCCTTGGGGGCCCCCTAGAGGGCCCCCCGGGGGGCCCCCCGGGGGGCCCCCCGGGGGGCCCCCCAGGAAGGTCGAGCGTCTAGGGGGCCCCCCACTTCCCGTTCGTTCTTTTTGCTTCCAGCCTCAGCTCAGCAGCAAGGCCTTCAGGGGGCCCCGACGCCTGCTGCAGCAGCAGCAGCAGCAGCAGGGTCTGCTGCAGCAGCAGCAGCAGCAGCAGCAGCAGGGTCTGCTGCTGCAGCAGCAGCGCACGCTGGCCGTGTCCCGGCTCAGCAAGAGCCGCAGCCTCCGCAGCGCCGCCCCTGGCTGCTGCCCCACCGCCTTGAGCAGCAGCAGCAGCAGCAGCAGCAGCAGCAGCAGCAGCAGCAGCAGCAGCAGCAGCAGCAGCGGGTTGTCTTTGTCTCTGGTGTCTCGCTTGTCGCTGCTGCAGCGGCCAGCAGCAAAGAAGCTGCTGCCGCAGCTGTCCTTCTCAAACCCTTTAATGCTGCCAGCAGCAGCAGCAAAAACTCCTTTGATGGAATTCGTGAAGGCCCAGAAGCAAAAGTACAAAGACCGGCTCATCTTGGTCCAGGTCAAACTCCTGCTGCTGCTGCTGCTGCTGCTGCTGCTGCTGCTGCTGCTTGGTTTGCTGCTGCTGCTGCTGCTGCTTGGTTTGCTGCTGCTGCTGCTGCTGCTGCTTGGTTTGCTGCTGCTGCTGTTGCTGTTGCTGCGTCCTCTGTGTCTGGGGCTGCTTTGCAGCCGCTGCTCTGCCTCCGCGTCCCCTGCAGCCCTCTCTGCTGCTGCTGCTGCTGCTGCTGCTGCTGCTGCTGCTGCTGCTGCAGGTGGGGGAGTTCTTCGAAGCGTACGGAGTGGACGCTTTGCTGCTGGTGGAGTTCTGCGGATTAAATCCCATGGGCGGAAAGCTGCGGGCTGGCTGCCCGAAGCAAAACTTGCAAGCAGCAGCAGATTGCCTCACTGCAGCAGTAAGTCTTTGCTGCAGCAAGTCTTTGCTGCAGCAGCAAAGACTTGCTGCAGCAAGTCTTTGCTGCAGCAAGTCTTTGCTGCTGCTTCCAACTCCTCGAGTCTTTGCTGCACTCCGCAGAAAAGCTGCAGAGAACTCAACACACGCCGCACCTCCACCACCTGCTGCTGCTGCTGCTGCGGCTGCTGCAGCTGCTGCGGCTGCTGCAGCTGCTGCGGCTGCTGCAGCTGCTGCTGCTGCTGCTGCTGCGACTGCTGCTGCTGCTGCTGCTGCGGTTGCTGCTGCTGCAGCAGAGCGGCAGCAGCTGCAGCCGGGGCAGCTAACTGGATAGACAATCAAATAGTTGACTAATTAATAACTAAAAAACTACTTATCTAATTAACTAATAAATCAAAAAAGCTGACTAGCTAATTAACCAATTAATGAACTAATTAAACAATTAACAAATTAATCAAATTAATTAATTAACTAATTAACTAATTAATTAATTAGTTAACAAATTAACTTATTAATTAATTAACTACTTAACTAGTTAACTAATTAATTAATTAACTAATTAACTAATTAATTAATTAATTAATTAATTAATTAATTAATTAATTAAACAATTAACAAATTAATCAAATTGACTAATTAACTAATTAACTAATTAGTTAATTAATTAGTTAAACAATTAACAAATTAATCAAATTAACTAATTAACTTATTAACTAATTAACTAATTAACTAATTAACTAATTAACTAATTAATTAATTAACTAATTAGTTAATTAATTAATTAAACAATTAACAAATTAATCAAATTAATTAATTAGCTAATTAACTAATTAATTAATTAACTAATTAGTTAATTAATTAATTAAACAATTAACCAATTAATCAAATTAACTAACTAATTAATTAATTAATTAACTAATTAACTAATTAGTTAATTAATTAATTAAACAATTAACCAATTAATCAAATTAATTAATTAA